TATAGTGGTTTTCATAAGTCCCAGCATCAGGTCTTTGACTTGGTACAGTCCCAGAGATTTAGCTGGCATTGTCAGTGTGTCTTGCCACTCTCAGGACGAAGCTAAAACTCGCCGAATAGCCAAGTGAAGTCAATACCTTGAGCAAACTTTTTGTAGTTTGGCTAGATCTACTTAGTGAGCCATCTCATGATTTGGTTGGAGATCCTATATATTTTCTACATGCTGTTGAAAAGTGAAGTGGCTGCAATCGAAATGTCGATGTACACCAACATTCTTGTTACCAGAACTACTCAGGCTCTAGAATTAGCTTTAGACCGAAGCCTGGATATTTTGCTAAATACAAATTTAGGTAAGGAGTCAATAGTGAGGTTGACGAACTTATTGATGTGGTGTACATATTTTACTTTCAATTGTAAACTGTACGAACAAACACGAGACTTAGCTATGGGATCATGCTTGTCCCCGATTTCACCAAATAACTACATGATTCATTAGAAAGCTGCCTAATACAAGAAGCACTTTCAATTTATAATGTATTGGTTAGGCACGTATGGAAATATGGTAAAGAAGCCTAGGAGGATTCATCACATTGATGAATGGAATTGACGGGAATATCAAGTTCGCCATGGAACCAGAAAAGGATGGTAGTTTGCCTTTTCTATATGTTATAGTTAGCGAAGAGGTAAGCAAGCTGGGTAGGAATGTGTATAGGAAACCCACCAATACGGGGTTCCGTTTAAATTTCTTTTCAAACCATGCTTATGGGGTTAAAGTGGGAGTTGTGAAATCCATAGGAACAAATATCCTGGGTCCTACAGATGTTAATCATCGGGAGCAGGAATTGAGCATATTAAGGAAAGTTTTAGTTGAGAATGATTACCCACTAAGATTTATTGAGAATTGCTTTAAAATGCTAGTGAATAGGATGGAGCGAAACATCTATTTGGCGCAAGATAGGCAACTGGATCACTCGACTAGGGTCCTGATGTTACCATTAGGCCAGCTTTCGAAAAAGATAGGTGAACTACTGAGGAACTGGGAATTCAGGAGAATTTATAAAGAGAAAATAACACTTCTCAGAGATATCATATTTTCGGGAAATTTCGCACTCACTTTCAAAATCGGGCAGCCATAAGGTTTTGTGTTAATGTGGTATCGTTTGTGGGGGAAACCTTTCGACCCATACATAAGAGGTTATCTAAAGAGAGAACAGCCTGCAAATGTTTGTGAGTCCATAAGTCAGAACTTGCTCCTAATATAGCCCACATAGGATATCTAAGACTGGTCTAATGCTAGACGCTTAGCTAGAGATGGAGACTATATCAGTAAACGGAAAATTGGGGAATTTATGGAAATCAACAAAACAGCCAACATCCCGAATTAAAGGAACAAGTGTAGTAAATTAAGTGGAAACTACCTGTGGCTGTTGGATAAGAGATGAGAGAAATAAATGGAACAGGAAGTACCGCCGAGCAAGAGGAGGCTTGATTAGCCTCTAATTTGGCTTACACTCTCAAGCCGATGATCTATTCGCACAAATCTACAATCCCAGCTCCACGGTAATCCCATATAGTTTCCGGTAAGGCCAGCTTACGAATCCCATCTATTCGCCTCCCCTTTATCCTCCTCTATAAACGAAATGAAAGGTACTCTAATAAGTACCTTTATTTATTAAGTAAGTCAGTGTGATGTGTTGTGCTATTTCTGATCTTTCGGTATCCACTTTTCTGCAGAGCCTTTGATGCTCCTTAATTTGTATACTGCTGTTTTTTCCCCTGTTTCGCCAATATATTTCTGCTCGCACGCGCCGCATACTATGCCGTAAACTCTCGAGCAATCAAATTTGTCAAACCTCTCATATTGCGTAGGTAAACTAGTCAAGAGTTGCTTTTTCCGTTGTGGCCACCTGGATATTCCATTACCTTAGTATTGGCAGTAGTTCATATGAAGGTAGGCATGCCCACTTTTGTGAGTCTTTCTCCATCCTTACTTTTTGTCATAATCCCCATCCTGCTGTTGGCTCTTCACGGCCAGTTGGTTTCCTCGTATTACTCCCCTTGGGTATCCGTTGCCAAATCATATCCGAAGCAACTTAAGCAATTCTTCTTCCCAGAATTACACGTCCGGTAATCGTAGGCTTCTGATGATTATTCTCCTCAGTATCCCTATCTTCAGTTTTTAGTTGAGATGAGACTCGAAATTGACTATTATTCCGGCATATGAGTTCTTTAGAAACAATCTACTCCTGAGTGTCCCATTGGAGAGAATGAATTCAAAATCTAAGAAAGGTAAATACCTCTCATCCTATATTTCCATTGTAAACTTGATTCTTTCATCAATCCGGTTTCTAAACTTCAGGAAATCCTCCAATTTTTCTCTTACATGCGATCAAACTGCGAAGTAGTCATCCAGGTACTGCATAAGAACTTTTGGTCGCAGCAGTGACGTTTTAAAATTATCTTCTAATTTGTTCATGTATACATTTGCCAATAGGGATGAGAACGTATATCTCACAGGAAGTTCAAATGCCTGTTCGTAGATGTTTCCGTTGAATGTGAACTAGCTAGTCCTTATTATAAAGTTGATTAGTCGTGTTAACGACTTCATCACTCTCTGCTTCCGGGATATTGTTTTCTCGGTCTAAAAGCTCCAGCAGGGCAGTTGCTTTTTCTCCAGAGATGTTTGTGTAAGTAGATTGTAAATCAAACCTTATCAATAATTGTGTTTCTTCGAGTGCCATGTTTCTGACCCATAAATAAAATTCACATAAATGCTTCACTATGTTTGATAAGATGTCGCATATTTTCTTGAAATTCATACATATGAACTTTGCTAATTTGTGTGTTGCTATATACTGGTTGTCGACCTTCAACCTTAGAGGTTCTCCCTCTTTGTGTAACTTCGGTAACTAGTAGGCTGTTGGCACCCCTTTCCATCGATGAACTTGATGTCCATCCATCGATCTCTCAGTTCCTATATATATCTTTCAGCATGTCACGTAATATTCCATTTATCTTCCTAGTTGGGTCCTTCTGTAGTACATGATACGTGGTAATGTCTCGCAATATAGATTCCATCATCTCGGTATATTGTTTCCAGTCGATTATCACTGTCACCTCTCCTTTGTCCGTCTAAAGAACTAATTGTCCATTCATTTCTAGAGTCATATGTATCCTCGCAAATCTGTTCATCTATATTGGTTTATGATATGTCAAGATTCTTGGGATTATTTCCATTTCCATTTCCCGTTTTGCCTCCCTAGGGAACTTGTCCGAGATATTGTTGACCTCCATCAAGAAGCCCGGTCCGCTCCGTCCCATGAAAATCATGCTATCCTTCAAAAACCTTCAGAAGTGCCTTCAGCGTCTTTTACCTCGACGCATTCGTATATATATACACTGTACATCAAAGCTCACCAAAAATTTCTGTTACTTCCAGCTTGACTTTGGGCCAGCCATGTGAATAAATATACACACATAACGTATATGGTTATCAAGATTGAGGTATTGTAAATGGCTATTTAAATAGGACACAAAGGAACAGCTGACAGAATTTAGGAAGAGTGACTTCCTGAATAAAAAGCAAATTGGTATAATTTGTGCATATGGGATGCGAAACCGGCTTCTAAGCCTCACCAAATCCACTTGAAGGGCCATACATCTAGAAGAAGATGGGACAAACAAAGATACGGTGATGTAGGCAGTGAAATAGGCCAGATGAATCGCTATTGAGGGACGAGGATGCGGCATTGGGAGCATAGGATACAAAAGGGGAAGGAGATGCCAAAATCATTGAGTGGAAAGTTAGTCCAGAGAATTGCCTTCCATTGTCGCTTTGGCGAGTTGTAACTCCATGCTAAGGATAACGTCTCTCATTGACCATACCAACTATAATACCGGCGAAACGTATATGTTTATCAAGGGATTGTCGAAGCTAGAAGTCGTAAGAAGCATAAAAACTCTGGATAGAGAATAGCATATATCGTTTTTCCACATCAACGACCAGATGCTGAAAATTACCATAGCTACTATTGCGAAGGATGCAAGTCTGGGTAGATTCCATGATATCTCCCCGTTAACCCGGTCAAGTTTTGAAAACAAGATCATATCAACTCAATAACATACAAAGTTAAAAATATTAAAACTAATGTGAAACTTAAAATAGCAGAGGGAAGTTGATGGAGAAAAGTTATCATTCCTTTTTTTATCATAAATTTAAGAATGCGATAAAAGAATACCCTACATGCATGCCATACTTATCAGACCATAGTTATTATTTATATTTGCTTTACTAAAGTAATACAGGAAAACGAAGACTTACCAGGACGAATATTTGTCTGATCTAGTGAAACAGGAAAATTTGATCGAGGTCGCTTTACAGGACGTGAATCCTCAAACGTTCCAGACATATGTATACCGGGCACCTTCAAAATACCAACATCCTCCGACGGCGTGCAAACAGATCCGGGGAAGGGCCGAGCCTCGATTGGGCGTTCGCTAATAGGGGCAAGCAAACCAGCTGAGTTAATATCAGTAAAGTCTTCAGGCTTGCACCCTGATTGATTTTGCTGAACAGCAAATAGGCTAATTTTAGCATTCTTGTCATTATTAATATGCTCATCGTGCCTATTTGAGTCGAGTATCATGCATCCAACTGAGGAATCTAAGCAATTATTTGATTTATTATTGCTGATTTTACAACTAACGTTGCCAGATCTAGTGGCCAATTGAGATTCGTAGTCTTGATTCATATCTTCATTCAAGAGAGAATGATTGTAGGATCCTTTGACATGAGACAATGAGTGGAGAAAAGTACGTGGAGCCATAGGCTGAGGTAAAACTCCCAGACTAGCATCACAAGTTTGAGATGTTTGCGGCGTCTTTTGTGTATCACTTGTAACTTTAATTCTCGAGGACTGAATCTGTTCTGACATCACTGTGAAATAGAGTGGACTAGCTGGCGAACTCGTGGCTGACGAAGAAATAGGGCATAAAGCAGAACTTGAGTGAACGGGACCTTGATGATCAAGTTCCGATAAGTGCTTTAAATTTATCGTACCGCGTTGGGCAGAAATATTCAATGCTATATGTAGAAAAAAATGCACATATAATACGTGCCTGATGATTAAAAAGATGTATTCGAGTTAAGTGACTATCATGGTAGTTAATAAATCATGATCTTAAATCAAAACATTCAATGAAAAAAATTCGGAACTATCTAGCTTTAAGCAGACTTTATATAAAAGTATAATTGAACATTACGTCAGAAACGGAATATGGTCACTTAGTTTGGGTTATAGGTAAATGCTATAGTCAAAAATGCAAATTATAAGACTAGAACGGTGTTAAAATAATCCAGAGGGCACATA